TGCATAGTCTTTAGCGTACAGCAACGCCTTCTAAGCCATTAGTTTCTCCGATGTGGCAGATCAGTCTCGTAGGAGTTACAGGGCTAAACCTCGAGCTTCTCCTCTCCTCAGCTTGCGAGAAACTTGCTCAAGCCTCTCCAGGAAGGGGGCGGGTTTATAAACGGCCGAATGTGAAATTACACGGTCTTTCTCAGTTCTGTGGGAACTAGTTAAAATAGCCAGTGTTTGGCATAGTGCCAACAGCTTAGTTGATAGACTAATGCTTTTAAACCGATCCTGTAAAAAGCAACAACCCCTCCCTCTTTGACCCCCTTTTTTTCTTGTGTCGGTCTGACCGTTAATGTTAGTGCAGGCTTGCAGTGACCTCAACAAAAGAAAAGTGACTTTAAAATTGAACTGATGTGTCAGTGCGATTCCTTGTCCTGCTATGTAAGTGCTTGTGCCTGCTGAAGGAGGAGGCTGGCCCTGCTTGTTTAGGGAGCGATGGGATGGTTGTTTTTAAGAAGAATTGGTTTGAAGTGATCGTGGATTAGTGTTCTAAGTGAATTGGCTTCTAGGTGTCTTTTTCCCCTCTCTTAATAACATGATGAAGGGCACTCTTTGCTATGGGATTGTAGTTCCTGTGACCTTTTTTAGATTTTCTTTTTTTGTGTCACTTGGTTTGAAAACTTCTCAGAGAGCAGCACTGTAATGAAAAACAATGCATAGCTATGGCAGTTGGGGCTGTAATTATCTGAGCTGATTGCTGTCTCTTATAATTGTGTTATGAGCTTGTAATGCTTGAACTGCAAACTATTGGAAAGTAAAACTTGTTAGTCTTCATGGCTCAGTGAGATTGGTCTTCATGTGTTAAGGGCAGAACTCCTTTTATGACCTATTCTGGGAGCTGTGAATAACCAATTGTGTAGAATACTGATTCCTGTCCTTTCTTCTTGCAGCCTGAAGTTTTACACATGATTTACATGAGAATTCTGCAGAAGGTATATGGAATCCGCCTGGAACATTTCTACATGGTATGTCTGTAGTGGCAGATGAAAGAAAAAAAAAAAGTCACTTAACATTAAATGTTGAAGTATCTCCCTCATCTCCTTGCTAGTAAATGACAAGTAGCTTAGTTTTGTATGTTGTAATTGCATGAATGGGAGCTTAGAAATTCTGCCTTTGCAGAAAACTTGTGTGTGAGATGCTGTATACCATGGGCATTTGCGTTTGTGTTCAGGGAGGCACATAGTCTGTTCACTTAGTACTGCACTCTCATTCCTGCCTAAGTGCAGCCATCAGCATGGGTCATCTACTAGAGGTAAATGAACCTGGGAGCATCATCCGTGGGCTGTTGCTGAGGCCTTGCTGATTATATCTGAGAAGTTGCTTTGATCATTGCTTCTAGTCTGGAAGTTGGCTTCAGCTCAAGATACTTGTAGAAATAGTGGTTTTGTGGGTGTACTGCTTTTGGGTTTCTTTTTTTTTTTTCCCTTTGTTTTCCCTCCATGGAGAGGGTACTTCCTTCTCCACTATAGAAACTAGTGGGCATGAAGAGGAGTTCACCTACCGTTGTAGGCTGTAAGAAAAGGCTCTGTGGAGAGCCCTCTCCTACTGTGCTTAAGCTATGAATTCTTTTCTTTGAGATGCTGCTGGTGCCAGAAATATCTGTAAGGTCCAGGAGGGCTAGGACAGGCTTATGAAGGGACACAATCTCTGGCCTTGAAAATACATACTGTCTTCTTGGGCATCTGCCTTTGGCCATGGCTGGAGAAGGGTCTCTGCTTAGATGTTAGACTGGTCTAGAAGGAAAGTAAATGTTGCTTTTAATGTCTCATCATCTGCACTTCTCCATTAACCGAGAGGAAAGTAAGGAGAAGTGCAGCTGGAGGTTAACTGATACCTTGTTCATTAACACTAAATTTATCTTCTCTCTCTGTTAGATAAGAACTGACTCCTGAAAGTGAGAATAAATAGTACTTTCTTGTGCCATTTTTGGATAAACTGAAAGGGAAGATCATATGTGCACGAGATAACCAAGTTCTTCACAGGCAATGACATTAGCTGGGATACTACTGTATTATGAGGTTTAAAATATCAGGAAAGGTGACAGTGTACCACTACCTTTTCCTTCTGACTTCTTCATAAAACAGTTGAGTGTGTGAATTTCAGGGTGTTTAAATAAAGAGCTTCTTGTTATTAGGTGTGTAATGCAGAGGCTGTCCTTCTGCACCACTTTTGAACAAATTAAAGCAGAGGGTATAGGCTGAGTTCCAGGGTTTGTAATGTTGCTGCTTTAGTTGTTATTGTCTTTTCATACTTTGATCAGCCAAAATTGACACTTAAAATAGTCTGCTGAGTAACTTGAGGGCATTCTTCAGCCTCTAACATGGGTTCCCTGTGGATGGGGAGGCCATCCTCAGTGTGTTTAGCCTACTTGTGTTATTTTGTTGTGGAAACAAACCTGTGTATTTTTAAGTAGTCTCTACTTACATATTGACTCTCTTTACTCTTTAGATGCCAGTCAACGTTGACATAATGTATCCACAGATATTTGAAGGCTTTCTACCTGTTTGTAATTTGTATATTCACATGTAAGTAGAAGATGCTGCATCTGTTCAGTTGCTATTCCTTGTAAAGGTCCAATTTACTACAAGTAGTGGGGCTTTATGCCTGTTTGCTGATGGTGGTTTCACTGCTTGTTGGCTCTGAGCGAAGTGAAATTTGCAGATGAACAGGAGACAGCAATGTTTAATAGACTAAAATTCTCAGCAGGCAGCTATCTTGTCAAAATGAATGTCTTAACCAAATAATCCAGCCTCACCAAGGTGGAGCGCAGATCTATACTTTGAACGGCTAGAGGGTCATCATTACACCTGGAAGACGGATCTTAAGTACCTGTTGTGTAAATTTTCTGTCTGAATTCTACGTAGATATTTTTGTTGGAATGAGGTGAGTGTTAGACTTTAAGCTTAATTTCAGTTGTAAGGGGAGAACTGACTAACAGTTAAGTGTAAGAGTTCCCCAATTAAGCTGAAAAATTGTCCTATAGACAAGTATTTTGTCTATAGATATCTTTGTATTCTTACAGCATCTCACAAATTTTTAATGCTGATCTGTGTGGAGTCCTACTGTGTTGTTCTCCTGAGACTTACTGTTGTTATGTGCTTGCCTTACATATGCTCTGGGATGAGAGGACAAGATCCTCTCATGGATGTGTAATGGATATAGCACAAAAACTGAGTAATGGTCACTGCAGGTAAGGTTGTATTTTGTTTTCCTTGCAGGGAGCGCTTACTTCCAGTGTGCCGGATTAATGACTTTCAAATTGCTGATGTTTTAAACCCAAGTAAGCAAGTGCATTGTAATCCTTTTGTTTCCTGGGGTGGTGAGTGCCACTTGATATTTAGGTGCTTTTTCTCATTTGGCATGGCCAGATGGGCATCTAGCATGGAGAACTGTTGGCCCTTAGACAAGCTGGTTCTAATGAGCAGTTCTCCTCCTTATGTAGGCTAATCCAGTTAAATAACTGAAGGGAGTTTTGAATGAGTCTGTTGAACTGTTGGTCTGGAGAGTGGACTGTGACATACTGGAAATAGTGTAAGAATAGATGGTCATGAAAATTATCCTGGCAACTCTGGAATGCTATAGGATTTCTTATGCTGATGCCTATGTAGGAAGTGATTGAATTTTTGCTTCACCCTTTTCAATACCCAGCTGTGGTGATTCTGGTACAACACAGTCAACTTGGAAAAGGCAATTTTTAAGAACTCTTTCACTTCTTGCTCCATCTTGTCTAAGACATTCAAGGCCTTTGGAACAATCTTTCACAAAGTTTGCTCGGAATAGAGCCAAAAAGTCCCTGCAGTTCAAACTGCTATCTTTAGTTACCCTGACAGTTATAGTGAGGTTCTGTCTTCAGAGGTGTAGTTGAAGACTGACACACTTTCTCGCTGACATCTGTTTTAATGGGAGGCTGTATGTTAAGTCATTCTCCCAGGTGCCATTTTAATTTATTTAAATTGCATAGAATTGCTAAGACATTGTAAGTTCAGAGCTTGGGGCTAGTTTTTGTGTAGTCTGTGAAATCTTTGCAAGGTGAGCAGGGGAAGAACTAATTTGGATTCTGTTGTTTTGTAATTTCTGTGTTTTCTCTGAATTATGTTTTGCCCAACTTTTTCTATGCAATTGCAATGCATGTGAAAACCAGAATAGTGATGGCTTGCAATTCCTATTTCAGAAACAAAGAGGACAGCTCGCTTCTTGAGCGGCATTCTCAACTTTGTAAATTTCAGAGAATTCCGACGTGAAGTCTACTTGGAGTTACAACTGAACTACGTAAGACTGGGTGCCATGTTACTCCAGATAACATTAATCATACTTAAGTAGGTAACCTAGAACTGGGAGCATAAAGGTTGTGTTTTTTTTAACTGCATTTTTAAACATCACATTGTAATCTTACATGTCGCCAAGTAATACAGGAAGGTACCAGTTTAATATTATGTAAAACTTGCACAACTATATTACAAGTTATAAGCATACACAGCTCCTGTGAATGGTTTAAGAGAAAGCTTTGCAAAGCCCTTGAGGAAACGTGTCAGTTCAGAAGAGTGGATGAGCTTGTCAATATTGTAAAGGTTTCTGTATGACCGTAACCAAGTTATTACTTAGGCTATTACCTGAAGTTTTTTCCCAGTAAGGTATTTGATAGTTTAGCCTGGTTAGCGAAAGTTTGATACCTCACATTGTTTTGAGGAAATGTGGATATAATAGTCAGTGGGCTGAAGCTGGAATTGCAGGTGGCTTCTCTTCTGGATATCTCAGTAGTTCAGACATGGTACATCTCATGTGAAATAATGATGAGCAGGGCTCTAATAGAAGCACTGGGAGAGACTATATTCCTCTAAAATAAAAAATATCTCTGAATATTTAATTTGCAGAAATCGGCTATGGAGAAACACCAACAACTGGAGACTGCAAATCGGGAGGCAGCAATGAAGCTGGAGAAACTGAAGTGAGTATGAGGAGTAAGCACTGTTAGATGCACGGCTTGATTTGGCTGACTTTCCTGTTCAGTGTACACGATCTGGACAGGCTGGATCAATAGGCTGAAGCCAATTGTATGAGATTCAACAAAGCTAAGTGCTTGGTCCTGCACTTGGGTCATAACAACTCCATGCAATGCTACAGGCTTGGGAGAGCTGCCCAGCAGAATAGGACCAGGGGATATTGGTTGACAGCTGGCTGAATATGAGCCGGTAGTGTGCCCAGGTGGCCAAGAAGGTCAATAGCATCCTGGCTTGTATCAGAACTAGTGTGGCCAGCAGGAGTAGGGGAGTGATTGTCCACCTGTACTTGGCACTGGTAAGGCAGTACCTCGAATACTGTGTTCAGTTTTGGGCCCCTCACTACAAGAAGGACGTTGAGGTGCTGGAGTGTGCCCAAAGAAGGGCAACGAAGCTGGTGACGAGTCTAGAGCAACAGTCTTACGAGGAGCAGCTGACGGAACTGGGGTGGCTTAGCCTGGAGAAAAGGAGGCACAGGGGAGACCTACAGCTACCTGAAGGGCTGTTCTAGTGAGGTGGGTATTCGTTTCTTCTCTCAAGTAAAAGGTGATAGGACAAGAGGAGATGGCCTCAAGTTGTGCTGGGGAGGTTTAGATTGGATATTAGGAAAAATTTCATCACCGAGAAGGTTGTCAGGCGTTGGAACAGGCTGCCCAGGGAAAGTGGTTGAGTCACCATCCCTGGAGGTATGTAAAAGACATGTAGACATGGCACTTAGGGACATGGCTTAGTGGTGAACTTAACAGTGCTAGATTAATGGTTGGACTCAATGATCTTGAAGGTCTTTCCAACCTAAATGATTCTATGATTCTATATGGGGTGCCTGAACAGGAACTGAGTAGTCAATCTGTGTGATTTGATAGAATTGTTTGATAACTACTGTGAGAACTTTTAATTTGTGCAGATTTGACTTCTCCTTTGGCCCTTATCTGACTTTGTTGCTGGTTATTTCCCAGAGAGGCTAAGCTGAAAAATACAGATATGTTCCTGTTGGGTTGCACTCAGAGTTACAGAAGTAGCTCTACTAGCATTAGGCTAGAAATGTTGCTGGCAGAAAATAAAAATGTGACTTTGGGAGTGTATGGTTTCTTCGAGATGATACTGTATTTTGTATGTTGGGAACTATGGGGAAACTTTTTGCTGTTATAGTTAACTTTTAGTGATAGGTCTTTCTCCCTTGCATAGCTGTAGGAAGCCCATCTTTAACTTAATAGATGGGTAAAGTTGTCTTCCTTAGTTATTTGACATGTTTACCCCATTCTCTGTTTCAGGCCATTTAGTCCTACTGCCTGTGTCTTTGCACCATTAAGTTTTGTTTTTGCTTGTGGATAATGGGATGAAGAGATGGCTAGTTTCCAAGATAGCTTTCAAAACAAAGAGTTTTTTCTCTGATAGGTGCTCTTGGTATGTGCTAGAAGGAGGTTCTCTAGCTAGCTATAGGTCTACCCTCATACAAGCTGTTTCTATGGCAGGTAATATTACACAAATTTCATAAATGAAAATCACCACAAAAATTGATAGAAGTGTTTTTCTTTTGTGCTTTCCTTAATGTGCTCTTTAAACTTAGTCCTCTGTTATGCTTGTACCACTTCTTGCCAAAATAGCTCTTTAGAGTATGCTTCTTCAACTATAAAATCTTACAAGCAAAGGAAAATAAAATGTATTTATTTGAGACTATCTTGCCCTGCTTATTAAAGTTCCTAAGTTGTGAAGTCTTTGGAGAGAATGATTGTTACATCTACAGTACTCTGACCTGACTATGACGATGTTGAAACTGTCCAATATCTTTATTTTTTGCTTAGTACTGTTCCAGTTGAACATCAAGCAGAGGTCAAGCAACTGACAGATAACATTCGAGAGCTGGAACAACTACTAAGGCAAGACTATCGTCGGAAACAAGTATGATCTTGTTATGTATTTCTCTGAAATGCTGCTATGGCTTCTGATTATGGATATTCCTTATTCCTGTTGATTTTTGTTTCCTTCCCCCTACTTCTGCAAAGAATAAGGGGACTTTTCTGACTTAAAACAAAGGTCTTTGCAACACAATATCTTGTCTAGCCCCTAGCACGACCTCTTCATTTCACTGTAAGGAATGTGAAATTTGAAATCAGGAAGGGAATCTCTAAGGAAACTTGAAATCAGTCTTGGGGAATACAGAAGTGTGTTTGTCTCTTTTTGAAATGCATTACTGCAACGACTTAGGAGGTACCTGTGTTTGTTGTTCGGAAGTGTGATGTATATGTTTCCCCATTGAATTTTTTCTTTGTTTTCCACCTGAATTTGAAAAATTGGAGGTGAGCTATGGCAGGCAATGAGGCCTAAGAAAGGTCACCCAAGGGAATGCCTGGCAAAAAGGGTAGGGTTGATTGCAGGGGTAATTTTCCAGCAATGTCAACTTGCCCTTCAGGTCTCATAGGTAACCTTTTCAGCTGTTTCCGGAAAAAAAAACTTAAAAAAACCCCCACACAGATTTTTTTTTTTTAAGTCATGTCTCTACTATTAATATTATTAATGATGTACTTGACTTCTATATTATTGGGGACCTTGTATTAACTTAGTTTTTTCCCAAGAACAGTGCCTCTGGGGAATAAGGTCGTGCGTGTAGAACGCTGCCAGGGTTAGTAAGAATAGAGCTAGTCTGTCTCTTGTCACTGTTCCTAGTTACCTACTGCTGGCTGCATCCCTAGTGCTCCTAGTGGCTTTTGTGACAATGTTCTCCTTCCTTGTCTTAAATCTTAGACTTCAATTTTGTCTGCTAGCTATGGCACTCTGAAGATACCATAAATGGGGTTTCTCTTGTAGACAGATCTATGACAGAAGGGTAAAGGAGGTGGCAGTTGCAGAGATGCTTATGTAAAGTTTGTTGCTTTTTTTAGACAGCTTTGCAAGAAGTGATTTCACAAAAGAAGTCAGATATTGCAGAGAGTACCCGAAAACTGGTAAGTACCCCTCTGCGTAAGTGTAGGCTGTAGCTTGCATCTCAGATCAACTAACAGATCATCTCTCTTTCTAGAATCAAATTATTCTTGGAGCTACTTAACGCTCAGGTGGTGATTATTAGCTTTTTAAAAAACTGATTTGGCTTTTTTTTTCTCCCTATGGAAGCTTTACCACAATAGCTTGTTTGTTGTTAACTTTAAATACATTTCTGTAATGTAAAGGTCTGTCCATGTTCAGGAGGCTGATCTGTTAAAGGGCAAGACATCTGGACTTCTGAAAAGCTATGGGCTTACCTTAGGTGCATAGAATGGCTAATGAGGCAGCCACTGACCTGGTGGGGACAAAACAGGAGGTTTTTGAGAGGTTGTACAGGAAGCTGGTTGCTCTCCTACCAGGTTGATACAGCTGGCTCTGAAACCCTGCAGTGACTGCCTGGGTTGCCCTAGGTGAGGGGTTCTGAAGGAGAGAGCTGCTAGTAATATACATTAGCTGGCAGGCTTTTTGTGGAGTACTAGTTAAATGCTGTTCTTGTGACTTAGTATTGCACCCCTGCAAGCATGTTGGGGGAGCAAAATGGACTGTTACCTGCTTTGATTGGGAATGTTAATACTGTTTAGAGGAATTTATTTTTAAAGCAAACTTCTTAATGAGGAATGACTTACAATAGAGAAAAGAACCTGTCTAGTCATAAGATCCTGGCAAATCATGCCTCACGATTCCTCTTTGTTCACTTAATTACTAATATTGAAAGTGTGTTTGTCTTGTTAACTAGAATGAGCTTAAAGTAACAATGGCTACTTTGAAAGAAGAACAAGAGCAGCTGAAATCAAAAATTGTGGAGAGTCCAGAGGAACTGAAAAATTACAAAGAACTGATGAAAGAGACTGTTAAGAAACTCAAGAAATCTAAGGTGAGGTTTTCCTCTATCCACACAAGGAGGTATTCTATTAGAAAAAAGCGCATTGGCTTTTTTTTGTACTGTTTTAATGAACTGTGATCTACAACTGCTTCTTGAATGACTTAACACTTTCTAGTCAAAAATCAACAGAACAGTGGTTAGTCTGAAATGAAATCACAACTTTAGAGAAAACTGAAGGTTGGTTGTGGGGTGGCTTTTTGTGTTGGTGGTTTTTGGGGATAGTGGTTGCATGTGTGTTTTTTTTTTTTTCTTTTTTTTTTTTTTCTTTTTTTCCCAAAAGGAGGATTACAGTCACTGCTGCTTTGTCCTCGATGAGTAACTCTTTATTTGTGAAACTAGGTGTGGAACTCTTGAATCTATACTGTACCTGTCTGGCTGTGTGATCTCAAGAGAGAACAATATTTTGGCCACTTATAAATGTACTTGAATTTAGAACACGTTTTGTAATGTCTCTGCTATCATTCATTGTTTCTGGAATTGATGTCTGTGTCAGCATGCTGAAAAGTGAGGTCTGTCCATAGCTTTTTGTTTACTTTTTTTTAAATAGTAATGTCCAGTTTTTTAAATGTCTGTAGTTCATGATTACTCATACATCAGTGAAGCTTGCATAACTTTGTCTCCCTAGGTATTTTTGTTCCAAAGGTGTAAACTTTATTACTGTAACACCAGGCATTTGTTTTTGTGATGCTTTACATAACTTCTGTTCCACCAGTACAGAATTTATTCACTGTATAGCTTTTTTCTGTCCTGAAAACTCTTGTAACAAGCCAGTTAGTTCAGTGTAAAGCACTTGCATGTCACTTTTCCTGTGCTTTCTAAATAAATGCTTTTTTACAACCTGAAGACCTCATTTCAGTAGCTACTAAATATTAATTTCACTGTATATCAAACAACGAGAGAATGAGTACAGAAGTCAATATGCATTAATACTATACAAAATAACTGCTGAACTCCAAAGCTGTTTATTAATAGTCTTTTTTCTTTAAAGCAAGAAGTTATTGAGAAATACGAAGGTTATAGAGACCTAGTTGAGGTTCTGCCGTCATGCCAACTGGAGGTGCAGTTATACCAAAAGAAGATGGAAAGACAGGGAGCAAATGTGGAGAGACTGGCCAATGTATTATCAGAGGTTTGTATTATCCAGATTAGATCTGGTTAGGAAGAACTTAATGCCTAAGCAAGATAGGTGATCATCAGTAAATGTATTTTGAAAGTTCCCATCTCTCCTCTTCCCCAAAAAGAGATAATTTTGATACCTTCAAAATCTCATTCTTAAACACATCAGTAAAACGTAGCTGCTGCTTTGCTGCATGCCACTAGCTAATGTACTGTTGACCACTTTTAACAGTCAAAGCCTTTGTTGCCATAGAAACCTGACCTAAAATAGTTTGAACTGTCTTGGGGATGTTGGTAGGAACTGATGGAAGAAGAAAAGTGAGATCCAGTTTCTTCTGCCTAGAGAGCAGAAACTAAGAGCAAACAAAATTACTACTTCAAGAAGCGTCATGTCTTAAGTGCCTTTAACTTTATTAATATTACTAAGCCAGCCTTTCCTTGACAAAATGTTTGTTACAATACCTTGCTATTTGATACTCACTTTTGGGAGAATGCAATTGTTAGGAGCATTTGAAAAATGGTATGCAGTCTTTTTGGGGTATTTGGATAGCATGTGTTCAAATTACTCTTGGCTAACAGCTATAGCAGAACTCGTATTAACTTCTGAAAAATCATTCTAAGTGATGAGGTCTTGTCCATTTGGGTGTATTTAAAATCGGATAAAGACTAAGGGACTGGGATTTCACTGGGAGAATTAGTTAGCAATCAGATCTTCAAAAAAGCAAGAAGCTAGTTCTGATCTTAGTAAACTAACTAGGTATGCTGTTTTGATTATTTTTCCCCCAGTTAATTTATTTCAATATTTCTGATGTACTCTAGGTCAGAAATCTGGAGGACCAGCTTGAGAGTGCTCAGATAGAGCTGAAAAAAGGGAAGACAGATGAAATGTCCTTAAAGAGACTGGTCACTGCAAAACATGAGAAGCTGTCTACAGCTGAAATAAGGATAAAAAAGAAGCGTGAAGATGTTGAGCAATATAAGCACACTGTATTTGAGTATGGATGAGTTGACATTTCTGCCTGATGCTACTTTATGTCTTCGTTATGTGCTACCAAAGTTTGCATCTTGTACAAACATGTAACTTAGCAGTAAGAAGAAAATGAGCGATGTGGGATAGCTTTGTATGAAGACCAGTAATGCTGCAGGCAGGGACTTGGGGTCTCAAATCAATAATTGCAATGTGACTTGACAGCAATTCTTTTATTGGAGCACTAATTTAATTTATAATGCTTATTCTTGATTCTTTTATCTTCTTAAAGAGAATGTCACATTGGGATAATTTTCCAACTTATCAGACTTCCACAAAGCCCCATTTGCCTTTCATGAATTTTTCATAATTTCCCTTGCCACTTTTGCTCATTATCAAAGATGTTCAAGACCCATGGGGAAATGGGGCTCATATCTCAGAGGACTATTATCCTGACATGATGCTTCTAAAACAAAAGGAAAAGTGTCATTTGATCAAAGCTTCTTAGCCCATCTTCCATCCTACCATATGCTAAAGGCAAGTTGCAAGGCAGTGTTTACAGCACAGCAGTCACTTCTGCAGCAACAAACTGCAGTGTTGTGAGGTCGTGGCTTCACTGTGAGATTTGAAGTGCTGAACTGCTATAGAGAAAGCTTATTATATAACATTTTTTTGGTACATGGATAGGAAAGGGAATATGGAAGATTATTGACTGGGTAAATTAACTGTGATGGAAAAGAACTTTTTTCCTCATAGCTGAGACAGTCAACTAAGATTTAGTCATGCTGATAAGGTTTGTGTGGTGTGTAGAATGGCAGCAAGATCCCAGGCTTCCTTTGCTCCTTATTTAGTGTATTGTACCAGCTAAAGGACAATTAAATTAAAAGCTTAATTAAAAGCTACTTTTTCTTTCCAAATGAAGAATGAAAATAATATCATCTAATGCTCCTTTATGTTAAAAATTGCTGCAAATTTATTTTTTTTGTGTTGAATTCCCTTGAGTGATAAAATCAGATGCTTTGATAAGCAAGAGGGCAAGGGAGATAACCTTGGTTTGAAAACAAGAATTTTTGCTGGTGAATAAGAGGATGTGTCCTGAGTGTTCCTTTGAGGTAGGAAGATGTAAGTAGGCTCTTGCTAAATATGAGCGATTTCAGGCATTCTTCAGAGAAAGTAGCTGCTACAGTTCCAACTGTAATTATTATACAAATGCTTAGAATAAACTGCTAGGTGTTTTTTGCACTTGAACTCAGAGTGGATCTCCTGTTCCCACACTAACCTTTTGCTGATTACATGGCGGCTCACAGCTGGAGCTATCTGAAGCTGGGGAAATATTATTTGGTCTTTATTTGGGATGCAGAGAAATGATGGACTGGAAGTTATAGATAACATACGGAGATGTATGGGATTAGAGCTCTGACTTAGTGGGAGGGGATCTGGGGCTAAGGAAAATATGTGACTTTCAATTAAGCTGAAACATCAAGTGCAGCTATATTGCTTTTAACCTGATCCAGTGGCTGGCCTCTAGGCAGGGCTCTCCACTGACATCTCTACTGTGTTACTCAAAGGCAGGAAGATGCAGTGTCCAGCTGTCTGTTGGGTTGGCTCCACTGGAGTCTTTTGAGTTGCCTTGACTGACAGCAACTGAGTATCTTCAACATAATCTTCTAACTCCACTTTGAATTTCACTTCTTGTATCTAAGTTGTTCTAGTTTAAGAACTGGACAAATTTCCAACCAAGTAAATACTATACAGTATTGCTTCTAGAAGCAGCTAGTTTCATGCTCGTAAACTGCAAGCTTTGCTTGTGGTGGGGCTAAGTTTAATCTAGAATTAGTCAAATAACTCAGTATTAACTTTTTTTCCCTACCTTTAGATATTGTAACAGAGTTCAGGAGAAGAGGGGTGCTGTATATGATAAAGTGACAGCCATTCACAAGGAAATCCAACAGACAAGGTTCAAAATTCAGCAGCTGAATGAGAATGCTGAAAAAGAAGAAATGAAAGCAAAGGTGAGTTGTTTTTCCTAAAGGAATCCTGTTTGTTATTATCAAACCTGATTTTTAACTTGGGCTGTGTAGATAAAGGAACACTTACTGGCCCTAAAAATGAGTAGGCTGTGAAGGTGGTGGTTTGGGTGGATAGTGGGAGGGAGAGCACTTCCTGCATGTGGTACCACTGGGTTTGTGCTAGGGCTTGTGCTCATCTCTGCAGCCTCTATATGGCCCACATGAGAACTGGGCTTTGCAGACCTGAGGGGAAAGACTCTGGAATGCTGTTGATTGCCCAGTATTTTGGGAAGTGAAATTAAACTTGTATTCCCACCTGTTCCTGTAGCAGGTACTATGTTAGTTCCATGACGTCCATTTTTTTATGACGGTACTTGCAGCTCTAAGCAGTTGGATTCTTCTTTTCTTTTTGTTTGGACCCTGGGACATGACCTGCAAAGCTTTACATCATATCATAGTGATGGGCACTACTGGAATCCTCTCAACAGCCTCCCTCAAATACAGGACCACGGGCCATGTCACAAACCCTTTCTTCCTAGGTTTTGGAAAGATGACTGTCTAGCTCATCTTTGGAAAGAGGCTGAAACCCTGATGGGTTGGGAGTAGGGGACTGGAGTCTGCCCGTGGGGTCTCGTCCTATCTGTTTGTTACTGAAGTACTGTCCATGCTGGGAGGACAATGGTAGCAGTCACAGTGGCAGAGACCTTGGTGAGGCAGGTTAACACAGAATGGGGCAGTGGTAGTGTGAATACTGGGCTAGTGCTGAGGGTTTTTTTTGACCATCTTAGTATTATTGTTGAAGGCATGCGAGGAATTAAGCTGGGGGTATTGTTTAGTCTCTGTGAGCAGTTAACAAGGTGCAACCTTGAGGGAAGGAACAAGATAATCACAAAACACAACTACTCAACCTTCAGTGAACTATCCTAATTAACATATAATATGCATAATAGAAACCTGTTCCTGTGTGGGAAAAGCCCCCTCCTCACAAAAGCCCCTTCCTCACTGAGCATGCCTAGAAAAAAAGGAGGATGCTGTGACTTTAAGTGGAGAGACTTTAAGCTGGTGCAAACCAAGGGGAACAAGGGTCGTTACAACGGAGCCAACTTGTAAAAAATACTGATAAGTGTTGCTTGAAGTGTATAAATATTTTTTGTGTGTTAACTGAGGCATGCTAGCTTTGTGGGCCTACCACTTAGCACCCAACTCTGTGCAGATTTGGAATAAAAGCAAATATCTCGGCTCTGTGTGTTTTTCGGCTCTCTGCACACCGGGTGGAAGAACCCATATTTGGGACAACATTGTGATCACTAGATTTACAACAGAATCATAATATTGAGATTTTGCTTGTGGCTGCTCTTACTAGGTTTTGTAACTTTCCTGTGTTCTGTGAATGCTGCTGCTTAAGCCTGGGGTGAGGTACATTTGAAATCACTTGAGACCACCAGACCACTGTCACTTAATGTTTATGCTTCCTCAGGATTTAACTTTGCTGATGTTTCTCCCCCCACCCCTCCCTTATCTCCTCTCTCTAGGAAATATACCTAAATCTGAAGGCTGGGTTGGAGAAGCATCATGACTCTCTCATTAACACAGCAAAGAGTTATGCAGCCTCAAGAGAAGATAAAATTGCTGAACTGAAGAATGGGCTGCTTAGAGTTCAGACTCCTGGAAGTAGTTCTTAGACCTGTCTTCACTTCAATTCCACTTTCATTATGTTTATTTTCATATCTGAACTCAAGAGCTTGTGCTTTGTATGGGATGGATAATTATTCCAGGCAAAGGCCAGCTTTCTCAAAAAACCATGTCAGAACACATTTAGCTTTCTGGATGGATTCTGATGTCATGAGCTCACTTATGTGGATAAGAAAACATTTGGTTTAGCCTGTCTGTATTGTTTCAGTCAACATCTGATTTTAGTGGTAATAATGCAAGTCTTGCTAACACCAAATTACTCGACATTTAGACAGAATCCTGCTTTTTGTAGAAACTGTTCTGTGAACTTTGATCTGGGATGACCTGGTGCTTTGGTCTGGCCTGAATGGACACACTGTTCAAGATAAGTCAGTAATAGGTGATTTTCCACTACCATTATTCAATTAAGATTAAATCCTGATGGAGCAGTAGCATCCATGTAAATGCCAGCTTACTCTCATCACAAATATTGGTGACCGTAAACACGCAAGAGTATCATTTTTGTTAACAACACAGTACCTCTAGATGCTTGAACTCATTGTTTCTACTCTGTGGGGTATTAAACCTTCATTTGTGTTTAGAAAATCTGGTTTTGGGTGCTTACTCCTATAAAAAAATTACATGGATTACTTTTGTACCTTAACTTGTGATGGCACTCAGTTTGCCATAGTGTTTTTAATTATTTCAAGAAATAAAATGTTAATTTTTAAAATAGCTGATATAAGGATATTTTACCCTATTTATCCTATGTCTTTTCTGTCCCCACTGTCCCAGCTGACCTGGCATAACATTCCAATTTAAAAGCTTTGGTTTGTACATTTGTAGGTATGCATACTACTGCAAGTTGTTTGGTTTTTAATATAATGAAGGGAGGGGGATTGACACCTGTATAGGTAATATCTTTCTGGCTTTGTTTAATTCTTCAACTTCTCTTATTAGCTAGAGGTGCTAGCAAGTCAGTTAGGAACAGCAGGTGCTCATTGCTTCTAAAGCTCTTACTGAAGCATCAGACCCTTCTAATGTTTTGCTTTGATTTTTTTTTTCATATATTGTAGCATGTGAGACACTTCAGTGCAAGTCATGTTAATCTGCAATTCTTAACCCAGTACAAAACTTCTCATACAGTTTTCACATTTCCACCAAACATAGTCTGTGTGAT